TTAGAGAGTAGGAGATAAACACTTTGTCTCTTACCCTCACCCACATTCAGGTTTATTTGAAATTTGAGCGCTACTGGATGGAAGTAAGTGAAATTCCTCCTCCCATGTACAAATAGTGTAAATCACATGTGTTCAGAAGGATTTCTCACGGTTGACAAAAAAAAATGCTTACACAGGACTTCTGACCCATGACTGATAAAGCACTAGGTTCCAACTCTGGTAGCAAACTATAAAGAGAGTACTCAATGATCCCTGCTTCTTGCCACTTACATTCTTATGGTTATGTAAATCCATACCCTATCAGATGGGGCTAACCCATGTAACCAGCATGCTATTCCACAAATGGTCATGCATAATAGCTGAAGCTATATTGTATATGACATCTGTAGCTTTTGCCTTGCTCTCTTTTGAATCACTCAAGTTGCAGGAAGACCATCACAATGTTTTAAGGGTACCCAAGGAGCCCTATGAAAACATTCACATGGTGAGGAACTGATACGTCTTGCCAATACACAGCACAAATTTAGCATGTTAGTGACTCACCTTGGAAGTGGATATTCTAACCCCAGTCAACCCTTCAGATGACTGTAGACCAGTATCTTGATGAAATCTTTAATCGAAGTTCAAATTTATTTTACATTGATTTCTATGGGCTAACTCTAATAATTTGAAGACCATTTTTAAAAATTATTTTTAGCTTTTCTATATAACTTAATTCAACTGAAATTACCATATTTTTAGAGTATAAGACACACTTTTTACATTTTCTCCCTATTTTCCTCCTCTAAAACCTAGGTGCATCTTATGGTGCGGACCCCAGATGCACCTAGGTTTTAGAGGAGAAAAATCGAGAGAAAATTTTTGAAGCAAAAAGTGTGGTAAAAAAAGTGTGTCTTATAGTCCAAAAATATGGTAATTGTGGGGGCAACTTTGCCCTCAAGTACCCCTGTCTACCACAGATGAAAGTAAACACTACCAAGACATGATCTGCTTGGGGAGGAGAGGTGGCCAATTTCTCAGAGGAAAAAGGCCAGGGGCCCCTTCCTCCAGGGACTTTAATTGGGTTGTAATACACAGGAATACAGGGTGGCAAGGATCAAACAGTAGATACCATTTCAAAGAGATCTGAGGGCTTAGTCTGAGTCAGTGTCTGTCAGGAAAGGGGTTTGCAGAAACTTTGAGAGACATACTCATTTCCTGCTCAGACCCTTAATGTATGAATGAAAACACTCTTAGCAAAGCAGGTTTCATAGGATTTTTTGGAATTCTTTCTTATGTCAGATTTTTTCCTGAATACCACTCTAGCAAGGCAAGGAGCTACACCCTTCCCCATCAGGTTTTCAGGCTTACTGATTTTTATTGCACTGATTTTATTTTATTTTATTTTTTATTTATTTACTTTTAGAGAGAAGGGAAGGGAGGGAGAAAGAGAGGGAGAGAAACATCAATGTATGGTTGTCTCTCATGCACCTCCTCCTGGGGACCTGGCCTGCAACCCAGGCATGTGCCCTGACTGGGAATCGAACCTGTGACCCTATGGTTCACAGCCCATGCTCAATCCACTGAGCTACACTAGCCAGGGTCACACTCATTTTACTTTTATCGCACTTTTATTTTTTATCACACTGATTTTATTTTTTAATCCTGGCCCAAGGATATGTTTATTGATTTGAGAGAGAGAGAGAGATGGATGTGAGAGAAAGCATTAATCAGTTGCCTCTTGTACACACCCCAACCAAGGATCAAACATGCAACCTAGGTATACGCACTGACCTGGAATCGAACTAGCAAACTTTTGGTGTACAGGATGACACTCCAACCTACTGAGACACCTGGCCAGGACTCTCTCTGATTTTTAAGGAAATGTTCTTAATGTTTTATTTTGAGTCTGTGTGTGATTCTTTATTATGTTAAGGAGTCCTCTTCTTCTTCTTCCTCTTCTTCTATTTCTTCTTCTTTGTTAATTTTTGTCACTCACTAATGGGTGTAAAAGTTCACAAAGTGATTTTTTTTCCTTTTAAGATGATAAAACATTGCTCTCCTTTAATTTCTCAATAATTAAATTAATGGTTTATCATAATAAACTACCCTCACATTTCCAAGATCCACTCATCTTTCTTTGTATGTATTACATACATTGGTGAATTTCATTTGCTTAGCATTTTTGTTCAGAAATTACATACCAATGTTCTTCAGTCAGATTGGCTTTAAGATTTCCTTCTCAATTATTGCTTCTTAATTTTTCTTTTTTTCAAATCTCTTTCCCCAATATTTTATAACATTCACACAAACTCAAAGGTTGTAGAAATAAACCTCTATGTATCTATCACTACCAAAAAAAAACTTCCAATGGCCTCATTTCAGCTACATCACTTTGTTTTTTTAATTTTATAAGAATTTATTTGATTCTGTTTCTGTTCTAGTGTTTTGCTTAGTTTGTTTTTGTTTTGGGGGGTTCAATTGTTGATAGTTGTCAGATTGTTGTCACAGAAATGGAGATCGTAATGGAGGGTTATCAGGGGGGTGGGGGAGAGGGAAAATTGCAGGGGAAGTACAGGAATAAGAAGCATAATTGGTAGGCATGAAATAGACAGGGGGAGGTTAAGAATAGTATAGGAAATAGAGAAGCCAAAGAACTTATACGTACGACCCATGGACATGAACTAAGTGGGGAGAGGTATGCTGCAGGTGTGGGGAGGTGCAAGGTGGAAGGAGATAAAGGGGAGAAAAAATGGGACAACTATAATAGCATAATCAATGAAATATCCTTAAAATAATAATGTATTTGAGCTAAAACTGACAACAATCACCAGAAGCAAGATCTAAAATGCTCTCTACATAGCTTTCTTTTCCCTGACAACATTGGGTTCTTCTGAGGTCATCTTGAATAAGATAATTTATCTGTAAATACCTTATAATGTACTTTTAAATTATAAGAACATTTTAAATAATTAAAATACCACAATCACTTAACACTTAATATAATGTCTTAACATTTTCAAATGTTCCCTTTTAGTAAATTGTCTCAAATTAGTTTTTTTTCCATTTGCTTTGTTCAAATCAAGATCTAAACGTGGTCCATACATTATATTTGATTGATAAATATTTCAAATGTTAAAAACAAAATATTGCTTTGTTGTTTTAAATTTATCTGCTGAGGAAATGGAGTCATTTGCCCTGTATTTTCCCACCTTCTGGACTTTGCTGATTGTATTGGTGTGCTGTAACACAAACTATCCCCATCCTCTATATTTCCTGGAACTTGGTAGCCTAATGTTAATTAGAGGTTCTCAAAATGTTTTCATCTCAAGACACTTTTACACTCTTAAAAATCACTGAAGGCTCCAAAGAAAGTTTATTCATATGAATCATTGACATTTATAATGCTAGGTATTAAAACGATCCTTTTAAAATACTTATTTACTAACTTGTTTTGATCATTTTTGAAAAACTGTCAAAAATGCCCATATAAGAATAACAAGTTTTTCTATCAGTCCATTTTTCAAGTAAGAATTATGTTCCATTAAAACTGTTACAAATGCATTTTCTCAAGACACCCATTGTATTTTATTAGGCAGACTTCCCATTTAGTCATATAGAACATCAATAGAAATGTATATAAGTTTGAGATTTACTATAATTATTTTTACTGCTTCATCAAGTTAGTCGAAAACAGCCTTTAGTAAATAATGTCATTTCTTGAAAGTGTATGGCTATGAAAAATACAGGTTGATACTACCGAGGCGTGGTTAATGCTGCTGCATCAGAAATTTTGCCCATCTTTGCTTTTGCCCACTATAAAAAGACAAACAACCCTATAGGTTAATGACAGAAGTTACAAGTGCACAGTCTCCCTGGAAGTGTCTTGAAAACCCCCATGGGACTGCAGATCACAGTCTGAGAATGCCACTTGGAGGTATCAGACTGCCATCTCAAAACTGGACAGAACCGAAACTGTTTCTCAGCCTTCCGACATAGAGGTGGCTGGAGGACGGCCAGTCTATTCATATGCTTTTCCTTCCACCCGGGCTTTCCCACTGGCTAACATACAGCTGCTGCAGCAGCAACTCTGAACCATTGCTCCTCCCCGTGGCTTCAATTGTTTCTTTTCCCTCAAATGATACATGGTTCTCACCAATAAGTCCAATTTCTATACCCACCCAATTTTTACTTAGTAATCTGTTTTTATTTCATCTTAAAAGACAAGGTATAAGGGCAATATACCTACTAAAAAATACAACATTTACACAGATGCCTAGAGGAGGGTTCTTGGCACATTGCTCAAAAATACGCTGTTGACATTTTCCTTATCTATCCAATGGCACGTTTTCTTAACCATGTAACAACAGAATTTGTACCACAGGGTTTTCATTCCCCGGAGCTTTTTAGAACAGAAATCCAAGCATTATCTAAAGTCCACTTCACCTGTGCCTGGGCAAAGTGCTGGCCTGCTGAGGGGAAAGAAACAATTTTGGCAACTTATGGCAATTCCCAGCCCCTGCCAGGAAGAGTCCACTACCATGACATGAATCTCCTTGAGCCAAGCCCTTTCCCACTGTCTATGTTCTGGCTCTGTTATTCACTTCAGGGTTCCACCCGTAAATCCACTTATGAAAGGCCAGTCTTTTCTGATTTCACCAACCATTGAAGCTGCCTGCAAAACAGGTAGGTAAGTGGGAGCTGAGAGAAGATGAGCACCGTGGCAGGGGTTTACCTCACACAGTGGAGGGGAGGCTGCAGGAGAATGCTAGTCTTCAGAGAACATAGGAGCTCTGCGACTCAGCTGAGGCCAGATCTTCTGGGAGGTTTCAGGGGTAGTAGAAACTACAGGTTTCCCAATTATTTCCAGAATGATAGAAGGTGAAAGATTTCACCCAGATCAATTTATTCCCAGGGGACTGTCCAAAGGAAAAGATGAGAGGGAGAACAGAGAGTTCTCTGCATGCCCTCTCTCTGACTACAACTCTCTCATGATCTCTGATTGCTTCTTCGAGTCACAGACTCCATGCTGCCTCTGTGGCCCTCCCTAGAGTGTCCTGGATGCTGCTGTCCTGCCTGATGCTCCTGTCTCAGGTGCATGGTGGGAGTTCTCTGCCTCTAGCACTGGGACACTGTGAGTGCTCAGGGCCAAGATGAGGAGTGTGGGGGCGACTTCTTTCATGAGGTCTCCCCGGTGCCACGGACACCCGTGAGTGAATAAATATGGCCGAGACAAGATGAGATCTTTGGGGATGGAGGGGTGGGCTGTGACCAGTTTCTCTGGGGAGAAAGAGGCCAGCAGCGGCCAGTTTCTCCGAGGAGAGAAAGGCCCCGAGCGCCCTCTTCCATAGCCTTTTATTGGGTTGTAATACGTAGGAATACTGGGGGCAAGGATCAAACAGTAGATAACATTTCAAAGAGGTCTGAGGGTTTCAGTCTGAGTCAGTGTCTGTCAGGAAGAGAGTTGCAGAAACTTTGGGAGACAAACTCATTTCCTCTTGGGCTCTTATCATATGAATGAAAGCATTCTTAGCAGAGCAGATTTCACAGGTTAATCAGCAAGCCTTTGTGATGCCAGATTTTTCCCCAGGACACGCTCTGGCCAGGCAAGGAGCTGCACCTCTCCCCATCAGATATTTAGGCTTAAGGGGATTAGAGCCAGGAAGCGCCTCTCCCAGAGGACCTGGGGACTCGGGCTATATCAAATCGAGGGTGAGGGGAGGGGGTGAGAGTCCATTGCTGTTTGTTGTAGCCCCTGAGTCCTTCCATGAAGGCCTCCCAAGTGATTGAGTCTGGCTTAGGTTGCCCCCCGCTGTGAGGGGTCTTACCAGTCATTGACTTCCGACCAAGCTCTGGGGGCAGGGAGAGGAACTGAGGCAGTGTTTGCTACCAGAGACAGGCTTTGTCTCCTGTGGCTCACATTCCAGAGGTCGTCCCTGGCCCTTAGCCACAAGGGGTAGAGATACAAGTCCTAAAACCAGGCAGAGCGGTCTACTACAGAGGAGGAATACTCCTCTCCTGTGTGATGCACGTGGCAGTGGTGGGGTGCAGCCTGACACAGTGAAGACACAATTCCTCCATCATCACTCCTTCCTTCAGCCTAACTTGTGGTGGGAGGAACCAGAGTGGTCCATTATCAATGGAATGAGATAATTTCCATTTTGTCGGTGGGCTGTAATTTGTATTGGCAGGGTGAAGAGAAAAAGCATGAAGCATTAGGAGTGACATAAGAGGAAGAATAACTAGAGACCCAGTGTGAGAACAGTCAGCTCAAAGTGGTGGAAGTGTTGGACTTTTAAATAAAGGGGAAGGGTAGAAAAAAAGGTAAAAACATTAAATAAATTCCTTTATTTAATGTGGCTTGTTCAAAATCAAGAAATCCTGAAAGTGTTGGCAATGATGAGAAGCAGTCAAGAATTTGGTGTTACTTCCCCAAACACTGGCCTCACAAATATTCCCCAAGGCCACTTCCCAAAACCAATTAACACTCTTCATTTTAGTCCATCCCTCTCCTTTATTCCCTTCCACCCCAGGTGAAGATTCCAAGGAGGAACTTCACTCTACACAGAGTAGCTGTCCCCAAGGCTCCTATGCCTATCATTTCCACTGCTCTGCCTTGTTTATGAATCCCAAGTCCTGGACTGACGCAGATGCAAGTAGGTACATTTGTGGTTAGAGGTGATGATGGAAAGTACATTATAGATGGGAGAGAGGTGGGTGGTCTACATTCTCCAGAATTTTTTGAGGGTGAGAATGAGTATCCTTATCTTTTGCAAAAATATCTCTTCTTATCATCTCAGCCCTGTCCTATCTGCAGTGACCTCTCGACCTCCTGCTCAGTCTCTCTCTTCCCCACACAGATTGCTGGCCAGAAGCAACACTCAGGATTCCTTGTGTCTGTGCTCAATGGAGCTGAGGCATCCTTCCTGGCCTCTCTGGTCAAGAACAATAGTAATCTCCCCATACGTCTGGATTGCGCTCCATGATCCCACACAGGTGTAATAACATCTCCACTCTGTCATCTCTGAAGCTGCTATGGCCAATCAGGGCCACTACCTGTGCTCTGTGCCTGCCCAGGAAATACTTTAAAGAACCCCAGTGCTTAGGAATCTGGGTGGATATTTGGAAGACAGGGTGGGACATTGAGGCCAGGTGATGAACTGAGTTCTGTGAAGGTCAATAGTCTCCAGCTGAAATTAATCTGCTTCTTGTCAAGATTTTTGTACAATTCAGACATGACACCTTTTCATTCATCTTTCAGAGCTTCAATCAGTCTACACATACTGTGCTAAGGAATCCTACGTGAAGATAAAGTACATTTTTCCTTATAGAACAGACATTGTCTTTGAGGTTCATATGGAAATGATAAATGTGCCTGCCACTAATGTGCCACTAATGTGTCACTCTGAATGGATTCATTGGTTTTTGTAATTATTGACTTTTGAATTAGCCAAGAGAAGCAAGTCATTAGGGAGAGAGTTTCCAGGAGGAAAGCTTCGTGACAACATTTGAAATAGACCAAATTCCACAATTCTGAGGAAGGGATCAGTATCCACCAGGGAGGATTATGCAAAAACTGATAGTCATTCAATCTTACCTGGCTCCATTCTCTACTCTCTAGGGCTACAAGCCCAATGCGAGCGGATGGGGATGGAACAATAATGATCTGATGGATTACTTTGCCTGGGAGAGAGACTCTGCCAGCATCACAAACCCCACCTTCTGTGGGAGCCTGTCACAAAGCTCAGGTAAGAAGCAGGGGAGCTGCATTCTGGCCAGCCTTTCCATCCCCTGCTCCCCCATTTCTGAGCCTACCCTTCAAGGCATCGTCCTAAACTAGGAGATGCAATGTTGGTCTTCTTCTCCCACCTCCTCCCATCTCTCCTTTCTTGGAGTCTCCTTTCCCTGGAGTGAGTCCCTGGTGAAGGTGAGGGAGGGGCTTTGAATCATAGGCCATAGTCTAGGATGCCTCTTCTTTGGGTCACATGCTCCACCAGCCCCATTTACTTTATCTTTTATCTCTCTCCAGGATATCTAAGATGGAAAGATTATACTGTAAACAGACATTACCCTATGTCTGCAGGTTTGAGGATTAGGTCAGGTGACAGTTGACAGCCTAAGTTTGGAATGCAGGTCACCGTGGGGCCAAGTGAAGACCCAGCCTGTAAAGGAATTTCTAGATTCCCCACACCCGCAACCCTAACCTCTTCTTTTGGACCTTCCCACATTCCCACCTTCCCACCTCCTAGGCCTTTTTGTATCAGATAGCCTGAGGTCTCAGAGAGTAATAATAAATATTTTAGTTAATATTTGGGTACCTTTGTGTTCCCCTCTCATAGCAAAACTCTGAGGCATAAGTTGGTGTGAAAGAAAATCTAGGTCTTACATGTGTTCAGGTTCATTCAGGCCCCTGGGAGAATGAGTAAATGTGTGTCCCCACTGGTGTATCTGTGACGAGTATGTAGACCCTGTTCATGTAGGATCGATGTTATGTCCAGACCAAACATCGGCCTCCACACACTCTGCTGCACCTTCTCCTGACTGTGTGGCACCAGCAGCATTAGTGCGTACTGACAGCCTCGGAGGTCATTATAACAGCTCTTCTGAAGTAGCTCGTCAGAGGACTGATTTTATTCTTTAATTTGTGATCTACCTTGAACCATGACCTTTATAAAATACAGTAAATTATTAATTACATGAACTCTGGTAACGGTACTAATATGTGGAGCATTAGAAGTTGTTACTGTTCCTTAAAACAAGAAAAAAACTCCGAGCAATTTGAAAACCAACAACTTGCCCTGGGCTGATAACCCTGATTTCCGCAGAGACTCCCGAGTTCATAGAGCCCTTCTCATTCCCGCTTTCCTAGAGCAGGAGCTGCTGGAACCTTAAACTTTTAGGAACATTAAGTACTAATTGTGACAAATTGCTGAATGCTGAGTGCGGACTGGGTTAAAACTGAGAAATACCTGAAGGCTGCAGTCTTAGGGAGGTTGCCGCTCTTTCACGGGTCTTACGTCCGGAACCCCACCACATTCTTGTGGTGAAGATGTTACCGAACAAGAGGTGGGGGGGGAAATACAATATTCGGCCCACCTAGGGATGATAAAAACTGCTATACAACGGGGCCCCTCCCAAGGACAGAATACTAATATCTACTGGGCTCTTCTGTCCGCCGCCAATTGGAAAGACATCTCTCAATGCCACAGATTTGTGAAAAGGAAACAAAATGCTTATTTAATGCTATTCAGGCCTAACGCCACCACTAAAATAGCAAAGTCCTTTAGGGTATACACCTACACCCACACAGCGCTCCCTTCTCCCACTGTCCCAACTCCGGGTACCGCAAATCAGGAAAAGAGCACACATCTGTATTGCAGGCCGCTGGCACCATGAACTGTGTCACCGTGCAGGCAGGATCTCTCTCTAGTTAATCCAAAGTACTGTGGTACCCTCTCATGGTCCACTGGCAAGAGTCCTTTATACCCAGTTCCAGTCAAAGTCTCTCTTGCTTTCCAGGCCCCGCGGCCAAAGGGGGCACCCCAGAGCTGCATGGACCTCTTCTACCAAAGCTGCAGGGGTTCTCACTCCACCAAAAGCATGTAGCTTTCTTCTTCATCTGGCTGCAGGGATCTCCATTCTGCCATAAACGGCGTGGCCCTCTCCTCACCTGGGCAGTTATTCCCCTCAAATCTGGGAGCCAGTCTCTCCCAAGCTCTCACACCGATGCTCTCACTCAGGAGAACAGCCTCTCGTTACATTCTGAGTCCAAGCCCTTCTCCCTGGCTCCAAACTTGGCCACAGCTATTTAACATATCTATGAAACCAGTTAAAGGTTATAGATATGTTAAATAACCATTCCAGAGGTTAGCTGTGAAACTGTTGCTATGCAAAAAAGCTCTCAATGGCCCTGCTCCATTGTCCCTTGGTGGGGGTGAGGGCATCTTATCTGTCTCTCCAATATTCCTACACACTTTGAATTCTGGACACTATTCTAAATCTTTTTGCCCCCCCCCCCACTGCACCCTGTATCGAAGAGAAAAATAGCATTCTGAAATCTCTCCAGATAAAGACGGTACAAGGAAAGAACACCTCACGTTAATGTCCAGCAGCATTATAGATGTAAAAATCCTCAACAAAATGATAGCAAACCGATTTCAACAGATCATTAAAGGTTCATACACCACGACCAAGTGTGATTTATTTCTGGTCAAGGATGGTTCAACACATGCAAATCAATCAAATACTATACCACATTAATAGAATAAAGGACAAAAACTTCACAGTCATATCAATAGATGCAGAAAAAGCTTCCAGAATCTATGGCACCTCATCATGTCTGCAATTAACCATAAGGGTATTATGCGCTCAAAAATGTGTTATCAGAGTAGATCTCACATTGAATATTCTCACCACAAAATGAAAAACCTGTAAATAAAAAATGGGACACAAGGAAAGTTTCAGAGATGTCAAGATACATAGTGGATATGTACACTTATCATCTTGGTTGTGGTGATAGTAATGATACAGGGTGCAGCCAAGGGGGGGGGGGCAAAAAAAAAAGATTTAGAATAGTGTCCAGAATTCAAAGTGTGTAGGAATATTGGAGAGACAGATAAGATGCCCTCACCGCCCACCAGGGGGAAGGGACAATGGAGCAGGGCCATTGAGAGCTTTTTTGCATAGCAACAGTTTCGCAGCTAACCTCTGGAATGGTTATTTAACATATCTATAACCTTTAACTGGTTTCATAGATATGTTAAATAGCTGTGGCCAAGTTTGGAGCCAGGGAGAAGGGCTTGGACTCAGAATGTAACGAGAGGCTATTCTCCTGAGTGAGAGCATCGGTGTGAGAGCTTGGAAGAGACTGGCTCCGGGATTTGAGGGGAATAACTGCCCAGGCGAAAGGGAAAAACCACGCAGCTTTGCCAGAATGGAGATCCCTGCAGCCAGGTGAAGAAGAAAGCCACATGCTTTTGGTGGAGTGCGGACTCCTGCAGCTTTGGTAGAAGAGGCCCACGCGGCTTTGGGGTGCCCCCTTTGGCCACGGGGCCTGGAAAGCAAGAGAGACTTTGACTGGAACTGGGTACAAAGAACTCTTGCCAGTGGACCATGAGAGGGTACCACAGTACTTTGGATTAACTCGAGATCCTGCACAGTGACACAGCTCACGGTGCCAGCGGCCTGCAACACAGACGTGTGCTCTTTTCCTGATTTACGGTACCCGGAGTTGGGACAGTGGGAGAAGGGAGTGCTGTGTGGGTGTAGGTGTATACCCTAAAGGACTTTGCTATTTTAGTGGTGGCGTTAGGCCTGAATAGCATTAAATAAGCATTTTGTTTCCTTTTCACAAATCTGTGGCATTGAGAGATGTCTTTCCAATTGGCGGCAGACAGAAGAGCCCAGTAGATATTAGTATTCTGTCCTTGGGAGGGGTCCCTGTTCTGTAGCAGTTTTTGGCATCCCTAGGTGGGCCAAATATTGCCCCCTCCCTCGGACCTCTGGTTCGGTAACAGTAACGTGCTTGCATATATCCAAACTCCTAAATTGTATACATTAATTATCTGCATTTTTGTATACTAGTTATACCTCAGTAAAGCCTCGGGAAAAAGGGAGCATAAAGCTAAGAAACTGGGACAACCTTTGTACCTAGATCTTGGCTTTAATGCCATTCTCAGAAAGAGCATTCTAAGAAAAGAGCATGAGCTGCTTGGAGAGATGGTTGAATCTAAGACAGAAGGTAATATATAAACTCAAAGTGGGTCCTGTGTCCGTGAAACACAGGAACCAGCAGAAAGAGCCCCCAATGACCAAAGCGGGAAGTATTTGAATAACAAAAAATCAAATGCTATTGGATTATAACTCAAAGTACAATGCAAACGTCCATGAGACAACATAAATACTATTAATTGTGTATCAATTAATATTTGTATAATAATTGGCATTCATTTTTACTTATAATTATATTTATAATAATATTTATAATAATGTACAATTATCATATCAACTGATTAATATATAAGAAAAACAAATTTTTTGTACAAAAATATTCTAATAATCTATGAAGCTCCTCCATGTTCACAAAGCGGGGGCAAAACTTCCCACATTTTGAGTGTGAGCTGTACATAGTGATTTTTTTTCACAGAGTGAAGCTCAGAAAGGGGGTGGGGGGAAAGAATTCCTTTACAGCGGGAACCCCTGACAAACGTCAGCCAGGTGATCGAGATGGACAGGAACAGGGCTAAGTCCTGTTGCTGGTATGTATCTTCGATTTAATATGATGACAATGACACTTTATCTCTGTGATCTTCCTGATCACAAAGCACATGATCACAAAACACATGGCTCTAGTCTAATCATGAGAATAAAATATCAGACAAACTTCAATAAAAGGGCATTAGAAGAACATAACTGGCCAGTTTTCTTCAAAACAGTCACAGTATCAAAAAACAAGGAAAGTCTAAGGGACATTATGTAAAAAGTAAGGAAATGTGAATAAAGTATATTTTAATTAATAATAGTGCATTAAATATAAGTGTGATCCATTCACTGTAACAAATACCATATTAACACGATGTTAATGAGAGGCTGGGTGCATGCTATGTGGTAAGGAGGCTCTGTATTACTATTGTAATATTTCTGTAAATCTAAAACCATTCTAAACATTCAAGTCATTTAGAAAAAATGAATAACTAAAAACCAAAATACAAATCGAAAAGCATAGATATTATGAACCTATCTTTAAAAGTTTGGATGCTGTAGAACAAACTAATTGATCAAATTGCTGTAACATTTTCTAAAGTTTTGTTCTTGTTTTCTGACTTTACCTCGCCATAGACAGGACAGTAAACTGTGTGAGAACCAGCACCGTTTCATGTCCTACATGATTAGTTCTTTATTCCTATAGCTGCTGAGGAGAATTACTTTATGGGCTATTTCTAAAGGGAGGGTCTGTGCCATGGCCTGGAAACTTTCTAGCCTCAATCAAGACTACAGCTGGTATCCAGAGGGGAGGGGGGAGGGAATTTCAGGGGAAAAGGGGAGGGGTTTACAGGAACAAGTATGAAGGACACAGGGACAAAAACTAGCAGGGGGT